CGAGGTATAGGTCACCCTACACGCCCAGATACACCTGCACCGAGGTATAAGTCACCCTACACGCCCAGATCCACCTGCACCGAGGTATACGTTAACCTACAGGCCCAGATACACCTGCGCCGAAGATTAGGCACCCTACACGCCCAGATACACCTGCACCGAGGTATAAGTCACACTACACACCAAGATACACCTACACCGAGGTATACGTCACCCTACACGCCCAGATACACCTGCAACGAGGTATAAATCACCCTTCACGCCCGGATATACCTGCACCGAGGTATACTTCACCCTACACGGCCAGATACACCTGCACCGAGGTATATGACATCGTACACGCCCAGATACATTTGTACAGAGGTATAACTTACCCTACACGCCCAGATACACCTGTACAGAGGTATAAGTTACCCTACACGCCCAGATACACCTGTACAGAGATATAAGTCACCCTACACGCCCAGATACCCTTGCAACGAGGTATAAGTCACACTACACGCCCACATACACCTGCACCGAGGTATAAGTCACCCTACACGCCCAGATACACCTGCACCGAGGTATACGTTAACCTCAGGCCCAGATACACCTGCACCGAAGTATAAGTCACCCTACACGCCCAGATATACCTGCACCGAGGTATACGTTAACCTACAGCCCCAGATACACCTGCGCCGAAGTATAAGTCACCCTACACGCCCAGATACACCTGCACCGAGGTATACGTCACCCTACACGCCCAGATACACCTGCACCGAGGTATAAGTCACACTACACGCCCAGATACACCTGTACAGAGGTATAAGTCACCCTACACGCCCAGATACACCTGTACAGAGGTATAAGTCACCCTACACGCCCAGATATACCTGCACCGAGGTATACGTTAACCTACAGCCTCAGATACACCTGCGCCGAAGTATAAGTCACCCTACACGCCCAGATACACCTGCACCGAGGTATACGTCACCCTACACGCCCAGATACACCTGCACAGAGGTATAAGTCACCCTACACGCCCAGATACACCTGTACAGAGGTAAAAGTCACCCTACACGCCCAGATACACCTGTACAGAGGTATAAGTCACCCTACACGCCCAGATACACCTGTACAGAGGTATAAGTTACCCTACACGCCCAGATACACATGCACCGAGGTATATGTCACCCTACACGCCCAGATACACCTGTACAGAGGTATAAGTTACCCTACACGCCCAGATACACCTGCACGGAGGTATATGTCACCCTACACAACCGGATATACCCGCACCGAGGTATACTTCACCCTACACACCCGGATATACCTGCACCGAGGTATTCGTCACCCCACACGCCCGGATATACCTGCACGGAGGTATACTTCACCTTACACGCCCAGATACACCTGTACGGAGGTATATGTCACCCTACACGCCCAGATACACCTGCACCGAGGTATACATCACCCTACACGCCCAGATACCCCTGCACCGAGGTATAAGTCACCCTACACGCGCAGATACACCTGCACCGAGGTATAAGTCACCCTCCACGCGCAGATCCACCTGCACCGAGGTATACGTTAACCTACAGGCCCAGATACACCTGCGCCGAAGACTAGTCACCCTACACGCCCAGATACACCTGCACCGAGGTATAAGTCACCCTACACGCCCAGATACACCTGCACCGAGGTATAAGTCACACTACACGCCCAGATACACCTGCACCGAGGTATACGTCACCCTACACGCCCAGATACACCTGCACCGAGGTATAAGTCACCCTACACGCCCGGATATACCTGCACGGAGGTATACTTCACCCTACACGCCCAGATACACCTGCACCGAGGTATATGTCACCCTACACGCCCGGATATACCTGCACTAAGGTATACTTCACCCTACACGCCCGGATATACCTGCACGGAGGTATTCGTCACCCTACACGCCCGGATATACCTGCACGGAGGTATACTTCACCTTACACGCCCAGATACACCTGTACGGAGGTATATGTCACCCTACACGCCCAGATACACCTGCACCGAGGTATACGTCACCCTACACGCCCAGATACCCCTGCACCGAGGTATAAGTCACCCTACACGCGCAGATACACCTGCACCGAGGTATAAGTCACCCTACACGCGCAGATCCACCTGCACCGAGGTATACGTTAACCTACAGGCCCAGATACACCTGCGCCGAAGACTAGTCACCCTACACGCCCAGATACACCTGCACCGAGGTATAAGTCACCCTACACGCCCAGATACACCTGCACCGAGGTATAAGTCACACTACACGCCCAGATACACCTGCACCGAGGTATACGTCACCCTACACGCCCAGATACACCTGCACCGAGGTATAAGTCACCCTACACGCCCGGATATACCTGGACGGAGGTATACTTCACCCTACACGCCCAGATACACCTGCACCGAGGTATAAGTCACCCTACACGCCCAGATACACCTGCACGGAGGTAGTGTCCCCCTACACGCCCAGATACACCTGTACAGAGGTATAAGTTACCCTACACGCCCAGATACACCTGTACCGTGGTATAAGTTACCCTACACGCCCAGATACACCTGTACAGAGGTATAAGTCACCCTACACGCCCAGATACACCTGTACAGAGGTATAAGTCACCCTACACGCCCAGATACACCTGTACCGTGGTATAAGTTACCCTACACGCCCAGATACACCTGCACGGAGATATATGTCACCCTACACGCCCAGATACACCTGTACAGAGGTATAAGTTACCCTACACGCCCAGATACACCTGTACAGAGGTATAAGTCACCCTACACGCCCAGATACACCTGCACGGAGGTATAAGTCACCCTACACGCCCAGATACACCTGTACAGAGGTATAAGTTACCCTACACGCCCAGATACACCTGCACGGAGGTATATGTCACCCTACACGCCCAGATACACCTGTACGGAGGTATATGTCACCCTACACGCCCAGATACACCTGCACCGAGGTATACGTCACCCTACACGCCCAGATACCCCTGCACCGAGGTATAAGTCACCCTACACGCGCAGATACACCTGCACCGAGGTATAAGTCACACTACACGCGCAGATCCACCTGCACCGAGGTATACGTTAACCTACAGGCCCAGATACACCTGCGCCGAAGACTAGTCACCATACACGCCCAGATACACCTGCACCGAGGTATAAGTCACCCTACACGCCCAGATACACCTGCAACGAGGTATAAGTCACACTACACGCCCAGATACACCTGCACCGAGGTATACGTCACCCTACACACCCAGATACACCTGCACCGAGGTATAAGTCACCCTACACGCCCGGATATACCTGCACGGAGGTATACTTCACCCTACACGCCCAGATACACCTGCACGGAGGTATATGTCACCCTACACGCCCGGATATACCTGCACGGAGGTATACTTCACCCTACACGCCCAGATACGCCTGCACCAAGGTATACTTCACCGTACAACGCCCAGATACACCTGCACCGAGGTATACTTCACCCTACACGCCCGGATATACCTGCACGGAGGTATACTTCACCCTACACGCCCAGATACACCTGCACTAAGGTATACTCCACCGTACATCGCCCAGATATACCTGCACGGAGGTAGATTTCCCCCTTCACGACCGGAGATACCTGCACCGAGGTATATGTCAACCTACACGCCCAGATATACCTGCACCGAGGTATATGTCACCCTACACGCCCAGATACACCTGCACCGAGGTATATGACATCCTACACGCCCAGATACATTTGTACAGAGGTATAAGTTACCCTTCACGCCCAGATACACCTGTACAGAGGTATAAGTCACCCTACACGCCCAGATACACCTGTACAGAGGTATAAGTCACCCTACACGCCCAGATACACCTGTACCGTGGTATAAGTTACCCTACACGCCCAGATACACCTGCACGGAGGTATATGTCACCCTACACGCCCAGATACACCTGTACCGTGGTATAAGTTACCCTACACGCCCAGATACACCTGCACGGAGGTATATGTCACCCTACACGCCCAGATACACCTGCACGGAGGTATATGTCACCCTACACGCCCAGATACACCTGTACAGAGGTATAAGTTAACCTACACGCCCAGATACACCTGTACAGAGGTATAAGTTACCCTACACGCCCAGATACACCTGCACGGAGGTATACGTCACCCTACACGCCCAGATACACCTGTACAGAGGTATACGCCACCCTAAACGCCCAGATACACCTGCACCGAGGTATACGTCACCCTACACGCCCAGATACACCTGTACCGAGGTATACGCCACCCTAAACGCCCAGATACACCTGCACCGAGGTAAACGTTAACCTACAGCCCCAGATACACCTGCGCCGAAGTATAAGTCACCCTACACGCCCAGATACACCTGCACGGAGGTATACGTCACCCTACACGCCCAGATACACCTGCACCGAGGTATAAGTCACCCTACACGCCCAGATACACCTGCACCGAGGTATACGTCACCCTACACGCCCAGATAACCTGCACCGAGGTATGCGTTAACCTACATGCCCAGATACACCTGCACCGAGGTATATGTCACCCTACACGCCGAGATACACCTGCACCAAGGGACACATCACCCAACGCGCCCATATACACCTGCACCGAGGTATACTTCACCCTACACGCCCATATACACCTGCACGGAGGTATTTTTCACCCTACACGCCCATATACACCTGCACCGAGGTATACGTCACCCTACACGCCCAATAAAACCTGCACCAAGGGACACATCACCCTACACGCCCATATACACCTGCACTGAGGTATACGTCACCCTACACGCCCATATACACCTGCACCGAGGTATACTTCACCCTACACGCACGCACATACGCACTCACACACGCACGCACGCACGCACGCACGCACACACACACGCCAAAGTAAGAGGCGACTGGAAAAACACAAATAACAACACAGATAATTACCGTTCATAAACATTTTATTTGCATCAGCAGGTTTCGCATGTCTATGCCTAGTTTGTATGTACATTGAAGGAATGGTGGCAGTAGTTACGATGAATCTCAGACACGCTGAGACCGTCACTAAGTCTACGACCCTACCTACAGATCTACCACTACGACTACACTGCCCCACACGCTAGCAGTGGGCAGCCTCGCACTTATCACATATGTAATACTGTATTGGGTTTGGCACTGGGTTCGCGAGACGCGCACGACGCCCCGTCGCTGGCACTCAGGTAGATTTAATGGACGCAATTTGCATGAGAAACACTTGGCACAATTGGTTCTGTAATGTAAGGTATGTATATACATGATGTCTTTATCAAAATGATAAACCTATGTACATTTAGTCATACATGTATATACTAAGGTGTAAGTTTGGCATCAAGTAGAAAAATGAAGCGCCGACTAGCTACACACATCAGGTCACCATACTGGTTCTAGGATACTGATACTTATATATTATTAAGTATCTCATCACTAACAAAGTAAATATGAAAATATAAACAAAACAAACAAGGATAACAACATGGCAACATGACGCCAGGGGGTCCCGTCAAGCAGGAGAACTTGGCATTTTACTGAGAACAATGTAGGCTGTGAAGCACGTGCAATGTAGGCACTGCAACAACTGCCTTCTGAAGACTAGGATGAGTAGGCTGAATAGCACGTGCAATGTAGGCTCTGCAACAACTGCCTTCCGAAGTTGGTCCATAGACAGTTTGTTGGAAAACACTGTGTGAATCTATCGTCGATGTCCACTTGAAGTAGCGCACGGCTGAAACTACACAAATGTGTCTCTTCGCCACTTGTGATGACATGAGTCAATCAATAGCACTTTCCGGCCTTCGTAACAGTATCACTGCAAACCTCACTGGTTAGAGGTTAAGGCTGGAAGGGAAGATATAGGCCATCAAGAACTGTCAAAATATTCCACGTCTACCAAAGATCTTAATAACAAAGCACAAGTAACAACAATTACGTCAATGCTTAGGGTAGGGTAAGTGGGTATGGTTTTACGCCGCTTTTAGCAATATTCCAGCAATATCACGGAGAGGGGACACCAGAAATGGGCTTCACACATTGTACCTATGTGGGGAATCAAACCCGGGTCTTCCATGTGACGAGCGAACGCTTTAACCACTAGGCTACCTCATCTCCCCCTTAGGGTAGGGAGCTGTAAGGGTGATGCGAGGTATCGTTTTCCATGTTTTCAGTCACTGGTTTGCTTGGTCCAGATTCGAGTATTTATAGGTCGTCGTGATATGGATGGAATATTACTGACTGTGGTGTAAAATAGCATTCACTCTTACGTCCTCCTAGTAAATGCCAATCTTGGTTTTTGTTTGTCTCCGAGGCGGGTTTTGTTGCACTGTTAGGATGACTTACCTGAATGTGAGTTGCCCTGTGGACAGCCAGGGTTCGACTCTGACAGAATCCTTTGCCACATGTCTCGCACTTGAAAGGCTTCTCCTTAGAGTGTATGTACCTGAAGGAGACAGATGAGTCTAGGTTCATGCTTTACTGGTGAGACAGGCATACAATGAACTTCACATTTAACTGGTGAGATAGGCATACAATGACCTTCACATTTTACTGGTGAGACAGGCATACAACGAACTTCACATTTTATGGTGAGACAGGCATACAATGAACTTCACATTTTACTGATGAGACAGGCATACAATGAACTTCGCAGTTTACCGGCGAGACATTCATACAATGAACTTCACATTTTACTGGTGAGACAGGCATACAATGAACTTCACATTTTACTGGTGAGATTTTACTGGTGAGGCAGGTATACAATGACCTTCACATTTCACTGGTGAGACAGGTAAAACAAATAGCTTCTGGTATTACTTGTGAGAATCGGCGGATGTAGTAGATAAAGTATCAGCTTGACGCTTTACTAGTGAGACAGGTGATACTACAGGCTGGAGGTTTTGGCAGTGAGAAAGGGTCTTACCTGTGGTCGCGGAGATGGTCTTGTCGCCTGAACGCCTTGCCGCAGATCTCGCATGGAAAGGGCCTCTCGTCCGTGTGGGTTCTCTCGTGAATCAGCAGGTTGTAGGACTTGGAGAAGTGACGCCCGCAATACTTGCATATGAACTCTTTCTTAGCTCTGGAAAAAAAGTAATACATGTGTGATTTTAATACCTATATATATACAAACATCGTTTCATTTGAGCATCCATATAGCAGCCAAACTACATGTCTATACGTGGTTAATGAATGGATTTCCCCGTGGATACAATGAACGCAGTTTATTCTAGATGTAACCTACAGTGATGTGGTGGGAGTATTGAAAAGGCGCGGCAAAACCCAGCCTACTCACCCTTGTGAGAGTAACGTCCGGTTTAGGGAGTATATCTGCCCTATGTCCTATACTCATGCATGTCAAGGTGATTAACGACCTCATAACCAATCTCGTTTTCTTGGAACGTGAGCCCACGGGGGTGCGCGTTACTTCACGTGATGTGTCAGTTTCACGATGAGTCAATATAATGACAATTTTTATTCAGGAAAGTCGATCTGTCGAGGGTTTCGCTTAGACTACTGGTCTTCCGATATCAGATCCGGAGGCTGAGTGGAAGCCAAATGAAGCAACTTACTCCTGCTTCAAGTGTGTGTATATAATTCTTCCTGGTCACCCAGTGATATATGTCACAACAGATTACGTGTATCACGTGTACAGACCATGGCGATGTGATACACCAACTAGACTCCAGCATATAATATTAGAATGAGAGAGACATTGCTAAAAGACGCACCAGCAATCTTGCAGCTTTTCGCGGCGGTTACCTTTAGATCTCATTACTTAATGAAAAATATGTGAATATGCAATGTAAGTACGTGAACCATTGGCACGAAACAAGATCTATAAACGTATCTCTTGATATGGCTTATGACTTTTATAGTGCTGTGTTTACATCTAAATATTTCCACTGGCCGTAGCTAGTATGTTTCTTTAAATATTAGAGGAATGTAGAAGCTCTAAGACCCTACCGTAGTCTTCAACCTCACATAACTTATTTGTATGTAAATCTCTGTATATGTAATATCAATTCTAACAAGAGTTAACTATTGAAAACTGCATTACACCGAGAATTATATTTAATATCAAGACTGACTGACTGAGTATGGTTTTACGCCGCTTGTAGGAATATTCCAGCAATATCACGGCGGGGGACACCAGAAATGGGCTTCACACATTGTACCCATGTCGGGAATCAACCCGGGTCTTCGGCGTGACGAGCAAACGCTTTAACCACTAGGTTACCCGACCGCCCCTTTAATATCAAGACGAGCTGCTACCTTTGAAAGCTAAATGTTATGTACATTTCTGGTGTCCCTCGTCGTGATATTGGTGGAATAATGCTTAAAGCGGCGTAAAACTACATTCACTAATTCTATATTGTAGAATCTATATTCCATTCTATTACATCATATTTAATATTAAGAGCATCTAATATTGTATTTATTTTATATAAAATAATGTTTCATATATATGTATTTCAAAGCCAAACCTCCGCTTAGTTCGTGTTCACATCAGTACAATACCAACCAACTTAAATGACGATTGTCTGTCTAACGCTCTTATTGTAACTTCTAGTTTAGTTCCAATGCTCCGTTTCAAAAAAGGATATCAGCGCTTCGATTGTGGCAACGCTACTACTAATATGTAGAACGAGGTTCGGGTAAACTTATAACCTCTTTGGTTAGTGTCTTAGTGTACATATATATATTTTTATGAGGTCGGGTATTTCTAGTCACCTTCTTGGTCTTTTGCTAATGGGTTTCTCCGTGTCTGAAGGCGCCCTCTGCAACACCGGAAGTCTGATGCCGCTCAGTAATTGGCTGTACCTGCAAATAAACATCCAATCAGAACAATGCAAAAAAAAGGTCTATTCCCATTCGTGACAACTCGTGTCATTTCGGGACCAGCTGAATGTATTCTTGTAGATTTACAGAATATAATCATAAAGTTGTATGATTTACAAAAGATGCAAGGCGAAGTATATCATCCGTTTTTAACTTAATATATGCTTTTTCGCACAATTTGAAACCGTTGGTTGAGATCAACAAGTGAATTGTTCAGCATGAAGTACATTTGTCAAGTTAGGACTAAACGTATTCGTTTTAACTTACCTCAAACTGTCTTGCAACAGGGCTAGAGCGTGACTGTAGACTTTCGCATCTGCGCTACCAGATCGCGTCGCCTCCCCATCGTTTTTCTTCAAGTCTCGCGTGGCTGATTCGGCAAGACGGGAAAAGTCGAAGCGAGGCTTTAACCGTGGTTTCTCATCAGGGCTATCGGCTGAAAATATTTTAAAATCAACCAATCATTGTCGCAGAATGAATACAGTTGATAGAAGAAAATAATGACTTTGTAATTATCATGTTTTTTTCTATTCTCTAGAGAGAGAAAAAGAGACATCCAGCGATCCCTAGCAGCTTGGAAATATGTAAATTTATTAAAATAAATTTGGAAATACATATTGGATCAAAATAAGCAAGTGCATAAATTATTGCGTATATATAATTGTAACAAATGGCTACCATTCATCTATCCGGAAGTCATGTCATTCGCCCTTTGCACAGAGAGATATGGCCGGAAGTTAGATGCTTGTAGGAGCATCACTAACACTGAAAAAAATGTCTGCCACACTACCGCTTTCGTTAAAACAATATGAACTACTGAGTTTGCGCCTTATCACTTCCTTTGCAGCATCTGTATATCCGACTACAGTTCACACAAGGTCGGCGCAAACATATCAACAAGCAACGTTTGTAATCCTTACTTATTATTGTGACAAAAGTAATTGAAAAAATAGCATACCAGCGGAAAAAAGGTTTGGTACCGTTTATCATCGGTTGGGATATTTCCCGTGACCCTCCCAACCCGACCGCTATACCCACTCATCAGTTGAGACAATATGCATTTTACATGAATTATTATATCTTTAAAAGACAAGTCTTTGCAAGGGCTACCGCTCCAGATCTAAACATTAATCGCTGTTGAATATACAGATTTCGTTGTAGATTGTATCTGTAAACAAACCGTTTGTATCTGTTGTGTTTGATATAGGATACTATGTCAGCGCCAATGGCATTAAATCACTAGTGGTGACCGTTAGCGATGAGAAGGGGGGGGGGGGGGGGGGGGGGGGGATTATGATCCGCTTCTCCAAGGCTCCTCCGTTTCATATCCTATTAGCCATAATTAGATGCGGAGATCCACCGCATCCTCATTCAATTTAACAACTAACTACGTGCATGATTTATACACATTGGAATGTCACTTTATCAGAATTACACATGCAATATTACGAAACTAGTATTTTTGAGAAACAATGTTGAAGTAGAATGTGATGATTTCACAATTTTAAGTATTTACACAGTCTAGTGATATCAGTTATGAAGCATGACATTGTCAAACTTAACAAAAGATTTTCATTCATGTGACAATTATTCCTTGATGTATATGCTAATAAACCAACTAGGCGAACATTTTTAACATTAAATGACCACAAAAATATTAATTACTAACAAAATATAACAACTTATCTGAATCTACACGCAGCAATAATAATATACCATCTCAGAAATATTGTCACTTGGTTAGGCAATCATACATTCGAGTACTCACCGTCACTATACAAGAGTTCCCTGGCGACGTCATACCCTGGACTGCTGTCTTTCTCGGGGGTGCTGGGTGTCGTCATTCCACGGTAAGCCTCCAGGGGAAGGCCCATGACGGGGGTGACGGGAGTCCCGTCACCCTCACACCGGCAGTCTGGGTACGGAGAACACGTCCAAGAGTTCATGTGGTAAGAGTTGAAGGCCACATAGGCTGGGAGAGGGTATAGGGACAGCCCGCTGTGGGCGCTGAGCGACGCCCGGGGGACGGGCGGGTACATTCCTAGGGATGGGCTACCGAGTGAAGACAGGGTGGGGTAGCTGAAGATGGGCTGAGGTTGGATTGCCGTGGAGGACGCCATATTGTTACCAGGGCGGTTGGATGGTGTAGAATGGAAGGAGCCTGTCTTGGAGTAATCTGAAAAATAAGATTCCTCATGAAGAAATCGGTAATTGGTATTGTAAAACGAAACACATTTAACATGTTATGTGTGTACGTGTATGATTTTTTTTTAAAAGAAATAATGTTCTCGGTTATTGATTTATCAGTTAATCGCATTGAATTTCTTTTTTATAATTTTATAATTGAAACAGGAAAGTCGGATACAGCAAACGGCTGCAGCTTATTAACTAGGTGCAAGATTCCCAATGAAGCGAAAGTTCAGATTTCCGAAGTCACGATAAGGACGAGAGTCCTTGTCGACAAGGAAGAATTCACTACACTGCGATGAAACTAGGTAAACCATTGTTTGAATGTGCTGACGCAAACTTTAGTGCCAAAAGTAGAGTAGAGTATTTAGAGTCGGTCACATGATCCATTATGCAAATCGGTTATTGTACCATATTCCTTTTTTCTCACTCATTGTCTTATATCGCAAACAAATATCACCAACATACAAACAAACAAAAAAATTTAAATTAATCATATCCAGTACATATGTACAAAGAATTTGCACTGTTTACATTCGGCGTCACGTACGCTGCTATAATGTTTGTATGTGCACATGATATGTACATTTAATTAAAATCTACAAGATATACATTAACTTAAGGAAGTCGTTTTGGGTATAAGGTCTTACCTGCAGCAGCGCGTCAAGTCCCCTGTTCACCAGTGTGATAGAGGTCGTGCTACTCGAAACTTATATATACATTTACATATTCCATAAAGAATCACGGAGGCTCATGTGGCTCTTCCAGGTCACGTGACTATAGCGCTGTGACGTGACACATTTTGATTGGTGACTGCTCGAGATCGACACCGCTAGGACAACAGCGGAGAGGACTCGGCCCGTGGAGACACTGCTCACCGCGAGGCGGGGTTTGAAAACAGGGGGGAGGGGGTTCTTATCACATCTAGTTTGGATCACATTAGTAAGTCCTCACAAACAATTACAGTTGATACAAGCTTTGATTGAAACACAAACGGATCGTAGAAGGCAGGTGTAGCAGAGGGGATCTCTGGTGTTGTTCCGCAGAGAGATTGCAGAATATACACTGAAAGTGTCATGTGTTGATGAGCGTAGTAGGGTATTATGTAGTATTCCTGAGTATTTGGATTGTGTGTGCCTGATCACATTCATATGTAATACTGCTAAACAAACACTGATTTCCGAGAACTTTATAAATGTGTGTAGTTGTTGTCTCTGCTGTTAATTCAATATTACAAATGTTACACGATTCCTTAAATTGCAATTCAATATATTTAAATTAAGTGGAACAACTGTTTTTTAAAGAGTTTACAAAATGTCAATACACATATGCTTGTATACAAAGGCTCAATAGTGGTCATTTAGGATGTTCACATATATCAAGGCATTAACTGCAATTTATATAGGTTGTTTTTGGGAAAACTGAAAATTGATCATATTTAAATGATGATATCGACTATGGCTTAACACATGCATGTTTTAACTGTGTACACACACAAAAACATTTGTTCAGTTAGAAAAAAACAGGGAGGTTTGATGCCCTCTAGGTGTGATTTGGGATCAAGAAGAAAACAACACTCCGATTCTCTTTCTTGATGTTTAAGATTGATGTAAATCCATAATGGGCGAGACAAACATACAAGATAATTCACCAGAACACAACGAAGTTTGAACCTGATATTACTGTGGAATCCTGTGGAGGTCATCTGTAGCCCAATATAACATTAGTGACTTAAGTTATCAAAGTCAAATGGGAACTTGAACACAAGGTGACATAAACACACAGAGGCAACGCTAAAAGGCAGTAGAGGGTCATAAAGTGTTTATGTAGAAATAAGAGGACAATAAATATAAATAACTGTTTTACCATTTTTAGAAGAACGTAGGTCAATATACTTTCTTATAATAAACTGTATATTCTTCTTAATACATGTTATCACTCTGGAACATAAATATAAATGATGCACATTGTGTTTGATCCGATCAAACATATTGTTTTGCAAACCGTTCATAAGTATGTTCATTATCAGAAATAAACTTAACACATTTAAAAATAATTACTGTGTAATAACATATGAAAATAATTACTGTGTAATAACATATAAAAATAATTACTGTGTAATAACATATACAAAATATTACTGTGGAATAACATATACAAAATATTACTGTGGAATAACATATAAAAATAATTACTGTGGAATAACCTAGATAAAATACTGTAGTACAACTAACGATGTTTTATGAATACAAGACATCGAACTACTAAAACACAGTCTTGAATATATTGAAAACACATTTTGATGAATCTTGATTAATATATAACAGTTCGTTGTCTTTCTACTCCGGATATGTGCATTGTGTATCCAGTCTGACACGATGTTTGTCAACGAATATATTTTATAAATATTTAACGGCTCGCCAGGTTTTTTTTATAGCATATAATGTCTTCAATATTAGTTTGTCAGTTTCAATTGAAATGAGCATTAATTATTTAGAAATTCCAACTAAATTAAGAAAAATGCCGTAATAAGCATTACAGATGTTTCGATGTTCGTTAAGTGGTGTTCACACTTGCGTCAACGCCTTCAATAAGAACACAAACCCAGAACAGCCGCAAACAGACATGTGAGAATTTATTTGATTATTTGCTACAAATTCCATCTGTGAAGTATGAGCACTAGGACAACAAAGCTGACCGCTCGTTACTTGGCGTAATCTGTTTACAGTAGTGCTTATCACCGACCCGCTCACACGGAACACCGACCTGAGAAAGTAGGCTTTCTTTGATGTACCCGCAAACCAACGCGCACCCGCAAATATACCTGCATTGTTTTAGGTGTACGAGACCGTACTTACCGGGAATTAAATACGTTGTTGATTGGGAGATGAATCATTTTCAAGTCCGACACATTGAGGTTTAACGCCTTGTTTACAGGGAAATGGGAACAAAAATCCTGATTCGCAGAATCGACATAGTAAGTGGTTCGCGAAACTTGTGATTGCTGGAGAATTTTTTTATGCAAATCCTTATTTCTTATTTACAGACAGAATAACAATCCACTTGTTGAATGCGACATAAACTATTGTTTAAGAAAATGTGGAATAACCGTTATCGATTCCTAGTAACACCGAAGTCCACCATATTGTCCTAACACGACACTACAAAAGGCAAGTATATTGTATTTAATGTCATATTTTCCACTTCTAAAGATTTTTCTGAAATATTTGTAGAGAGAAAGGGTTATGTCTTATTTTCTTGTCTCAATTTCAATGTTACGTTAAAGGCAATGCAGATATAACTTTAAATTAATTAGACCAATTCGGGGGACACAATTCACAAAACATTCATAATATTATGATGAAGAAAGGGTAACAATATACATGATCGTTCTGAATTATAATATTTTTGTGGTAAAAACTACATAACTACTTGATTATACAATAAACTCTGACGTGTATGGGTCGTTTTCTAATAAAAATCATAAAGTCAGGAATTAACCACTAGTTGTGTGAACCCCTTCTATATTTTTCATGTTTTAGGATATCACTAATAAGCCTTGATTTTTTTCTATAGTCAAGATTCAACATGAAGCTTAAGTCTTTGGTAGGCATTTGCAAGTTGGAATAACATGAATACATGACACTTTTGCATGGATGACAACTTAGTTTATCCTCTGCAGAGTTTCAGAATTACTTAACTAGGTGAATATTGAGTACGCGTATACAGTATGTTGACAAATACATAACATAACAGATTATAATAAAAATCTGTCCGTCTATACAATAAAGACCGGCAGCGTTTTAAAAGAAGATAGCGTTTACAGTACAGTGTTTAGGTGTATTGTAAACATGTCCAAACATGCTATATATTTGACATACGCAATGACACCACAAACGTACATAATGTGATAGCTCATGATATGCTCTGTAAAGTGCATATCCTCGAGAGATAAGAGTGGCATCCGCCTGCGATATTCTCGGCGGAGGGGATTGCACTCGTGGGAGAGGAGGGGGTATACTCTCCCGGGAGGAAGGGGGGTGTACACTTAGGGGAGGGGGTCGTGTAATTATCACTCAGATTCTCTGTTGATGTCTACCATGTACTGACACTAAGGGGACTGAAAGATTGCCATCTTCTTTTTTAATTATATGTCCGTGCCGTCTTAGTTACTAGAGTTCTCGAGGGACTAAATATTCGTTTAGTTCGTCATGAACGCCAGGTTTCATGTGTCATAAAGGCATGGGTCAATATTATTTTTATTTCCATATGATCGATGAACAGGCATCTGGATACCACTTCAGGATATCACTTCATAGTTTTCAATGTTTATATTCTTAAACCTAAAGATATTAACCCTATTATTGCTACTTCTGCCCTTGCATATCTAATTTAATTAAAGGTGAGTTCCATGTATTGTGTGTGTGAAAGGCGCTGAGGTTTAAGAACAAATTGTCAATGTGGTTAAATGAAAACAGTCAATATATACTGAAAATGGTCGCCGTGTAACGAAGTTTCTAAATCCCGTGTTCCTCCCGTACACAAGTAAACTAGCTATGTCTTAACTGTGACTGAGCTACATTTATCAATTAGGCCTTTAGACATCTTATACTAAATAAATATCTGTCTCTCTGTATGTCACCCTCTAATTGTAAGGAAATATATGTGTACGTGCATCCGTGTAACTCCACCCAACTTGACAGTACGGCTATTACATCATTTTCGGGAAACTGTTCGATTTTCCGAATTTCGTTTCTTCCAGCAAGATCCAATGTCATGTAAAATATATTTATTTTGTTCCAAGATTTAATGATATGCATGAAAACCTGTAAGATGTCGTAGCCTGGTCATTCTACGATATAATAAGTGGTCGTCATCTTCATGTGTCTAGGCAATCTTTGCGCTAAGACGATCTTACTCCCATACTTACACGGTCGTAGAGCTAAAATTGCTATGTGGAACGGGTCCTAGGGGAAAATAATGAGACGC